TGGTATTACCAGAGAGACTAGCAAGCGCCATCTCCCTAGCACGTTCACACCACCAAGCTTCGCGGTTCATTTGCAGACTCCTGTGCAACTATCGACCAAGGTATTGGCGTCCTTCACTGTGTCTGAAATCCGACGGGATCAAGCGGCATTTGTCCATCAGCGACAAGGAGACGGCGGAAATCCAATGCTTCGGTGGGTGACAAGCAATTCCACAAGTGTCGGTACTGGCGGAAACTAAAGCATCTTTGATATGCGCCCACTGCAAATGGAGATCACCGTCAATAATTGAGCCAAGCAAGGCTGACAGTGAGGCTTGGTAACTGGTTAAAATCGCAGGGTTTTGTAGATTCGCAACTTCCGGTCGGTAGTGGGCGCGCTTGGGTGATCTTCCGAAACTCATACAAATCCTAGCACGAACCAATGCATGATCGGAGTCTAGATAAGCTGACCAGTACGATCGGCAGTCCGTTAGGCTTCCGCGCCATCTGTAGCTGATTGCTATGTGGTCAAGCTGGGTGCACTCTTGCGTTTGTTAGGGCGGGCGCCAGGTAGCAGTGGGTCTCCTTGAGTGCCGAAAACTGATGCTCGAAAGCTACAAGCGATGATCAGAGCAAGGAGCAAGCAGTCTGTCTCCGTTGTCTGATCAGCTGCCACCGAGACCAAATTTAACCCCAAGATGGTGCTCGCTTGGTGGAAGGCGGCCAACCGGTGCGTTAAAGTCCCCGGCAAGAATGCCTATATCACTCCTGTAGAAGAACGCAGAAGTTCATGTAGCTGCTGGTAAAAGCTATCCTTGACTTCGTCCGGTCTGCAAATTGTAGGGGCGTAGAAGGAGACGACAAACAAGGCACGCTTAACGTCTCGACACCTGCTTACCTTACATGAACCTCATAGTCTGACTGCACATTGCCGACTGTTGACTGGGATCCAGTCAAGCAGAGCTGATGCAGCCGTGGCACTCAGTGCAACCCCAACACCAGCTTGGCCAGCGGCGGCAGCTTCTGGGTCTCCGGAAAGCCGCAAGTGGTATTTTGCGTCAGGGTTCACCGGAAAGTCCATTCTGATGAGGGTGCTAGAGTCTTATAATCTGGTCTCTGAAAGGCAGAAGATGTCTACCGAAAGCGTTTCAAGAGTATGGGCCAGACATGCTTGTTGTCCGATCTGCATCAAAGTTCGAACATTTAAGACTACGAGGATGAATGGAGAACCAAGTCGAAGAAGAGCATGAGCTTACGTGCAGTAAGAGGCGGCTACAATCGAATGACATTGAAAACCGGGAGTTTGGCTGTTACTTCCATCAGTTGCCTGAAGTGGATCATTTGTGACGGTGACCGAAGAAGACATAAGAGTACAAATAGGTGAAGGACGGGAGGTGGGGTGGTCTGTGAGTGGAGGTTGAACCGTAGAGTTAGCGGAGATGATAAGCATAACACGAGAAGTAGTAAGCAGTGTGGTGCATGATTCGTCAGTGGGCGTGATACTACCCGGTTGCCCAGACCGAAGTAGAGGGCGTCGTCTTAGGGGGCCCTACCCCGAGCCTTTGATCAAAGGTCTAACCTACAAGGCAGCAGGGCGATGTGAGGGCGTCGCAACCCGTTGGAAGCCAGTGACCAAATAGATTGTTCATACGCCATTCGGTCCGTGAAGGACCAAGGGCCCAACACACGCTTGAAGTACATTTCCTCTCAGAGAGGGGCAAGGGGCAGTGATATTCTTTAGTGCCGAGTCACATCCGCCACGTCGCAGTGTTGTTAAACAGTCATCTGTGTCTTTTTATAGGGAGAACGCTTTCCAGGCGAAAACCCACCACGTCCTGGAACAATATCGTCCAAGCATTTTCTGGAACGGGAAAAACCCGAACCACTCAGCTGCACCACTAGGAGGTTGTTTGGCAAGCCAGCCTTTTTAGGTTATAGAACGACGGTCTGCTGAGAGGGTTAATGCCGAAATACGACTGCGGCGATTTGGTTCCAAAGCGAGTAGTCACTGCTTTATTACAGCAAGCGTCGCTTACCATCAGGGTGGATGCAGTACACCGACAGAATGGTCTCTACGGTAGTTGTACCTGCAAGGCCCATAATTCCGCAAGGTCGATAACACTCAATTCCCTATCTAACGGCCTGTGAACACGTAGTCCACAACCACAGATGGCAGTACATTGGTATACAACGGGTCAGATAGATAACGATTGACATGTCACGTAGGATAGCCGTACTGGAGAGAAGAATAATTAAATAATGGACGTACCAATAAAATAGAGTGTTCAATGTTGATTTAGCAGAGATATTTGCTTGCTAATTTTTGTACGTTTATTTGGTTACAACTAGTCGCTCGCCATAACTTTACATCTTCGGGGCGAAGCGTAAAATTCGAGAACATAATTTTGTACATGAAATCTCCTTTATAATGCTAAATAACAACATCAGAATACGAAAGTTATGGGATGACATTGTCGGGATGACCTACTAATGCTCGGGCCGGTTCGGTGTGTCCGGATACCATGACAGTCACAGGTGTACGCGTGCGGACGATCCGGACCTGTGGGACCCAAAGATTATGGCGTACTTGTGAGTAAAAGGGATGAAATGGGCCTGTGCAACTTTCCACTGAACTGTGGGTTGATAGGTGGCCGCCTTGGATAAAAGGAAGATGTTTTGAGCGTCGCTCCACTGAGAGCGCGAATGCCGAAATACAACAGCGGCAATTTGGTTAAATTTGAGTAGGCATTTCTTTTTAACAGCATGCGTTACTTACTGTTAGGCTATTATTGAAGTGATGTAAGTAGAAAGTGATAGGGTGACGGGATTTCTCCCTAAAGAGCACCCAACTTGGTGCTTAGTGAGTGGGAGCATTTGCCACTGACTCGCGTAATCTGAGTGCGTCCAGTAAAACAATCACTCAACAATTGGATGATGGAGAGATGTATTCCTTGAATTAGTAGATCTTTCGGCAGCATTTCGCAGTTTACACAGCGAATCGCGTTGTTATATTCAGGAACGCACGTGCGAGTTGATCTGTTTTGTTGTCAGGTGATGACAGTATAGAACGTAGGATGCGGGCCACTGCATCTACAGTAGATCTTGACATACGGTAAGTGTTTTTAAGGGGGTCATTCGAGCGGGTTTGGGACAGCATCATTTCAAGAAGGCTTTTTTCTTGAAGCTTCTAGGCAACAGAAGAGCAAGCGACAGGTCAACATTTGTTGGACCCCTTTCTTGATACCGGTGTGATGCTGCTGTTCCCAAGAATAGACTGGATATACACTTGGTGGAGACGGCGTAGCTCTTCCTTGGTACGAACAGTGAGACCTCACTGAGATGCCGTATTTTTCTTTAAACGCTCTCCTTAAGTCGACACAGCCTCTTCAGATGGGGGAGGAGAACCTGTCCGCGCGGACGTTGAGAGTTTTTCAAGGACAGCAGATGTCAAAACAGAAATTTAGATAGCTAGTCAAGTTGTCACAATACTTGGATACGTCAGGGTCAAAGGAGAAACAAAATTATTTGCATGAAACCATTCCACTAGGTCGATCGATATTTTGTGAAGAGCACTGCCTCCACTTGAACCTACTTACATCAGCTCAATAATAGCCCCCGTAGAAGCTACCCTAATAAAATATGCTGACGACATCGTCCTGGGTATCAATCATCGATACGCCGATTGTTCTGAGGTTGCAAAATCATCAGAATGACCTCAATAGTTGGTCTAAAGTTTGTCATCTGTCTCTTAATTCATCCGAGTGTCATAATATGCTGTTTTTGCCACACATAGAAGCTAGGTACGATCAGCTCCCTGCACAGTGCCCCAAGCAGCTTAGTGACAGTGATGGATTACACTCTGCTACATCAGTGAAGTAGCTAGGTCTGGTACTTGAAGTTCTGCCAGGTGACAGTTTGACAAACCTTATGTACGCGGACGACATAGTCCTCTTTGGGTCTGACTCAGGTGCTTTGTAAGCAAACTGACTCCACTGACGTGTAACGCTGTACACCTCTGCATGGTTTTGCACCTTCGTAGTGCAATGTGTTGTGATAGCATTGGTCCGATCAGCCACCTGTTTTGACTGTCCTTTTAAAGGGGGAACTTTAGAGGCGATCCGAAGGGTGCCATGCAGGCACCTGCCATGCAGATGACAGCGGTTGGCCTTCCGGCGTCAGGACTTCCCGGTTACGGCAGCTATGAATCGACATAGCATTTTTGGAATCCGTAAGGGCGAATTTGTATTACTTATGAGTAGAAGGATTTTGGTGAGTATTTTTGTTCGTCGCAGTCAGCCGACAATTCAGATAAGTCAACCACCTATCCGGAAAAGCACCAGACGGCTGTTTCGCCCTATTGGGGCTCGTCAGTGGCGCGCATTCTTCGGCCCTCTATAGAGGATCGAAACCATGACTGCTAGTGGCTTGTGCCAACTAGCCCGCAGCTTATGCAACTGCGCCATGGAGGACGGTAGCCGACCATCACGAATTGTTAACTAACTGCGATATAGCCCGACCCATCCTCCACTGCCATGCAGATGACAGCGGTTGGCCTTCCGGCGTCAGGACTTCCCGGTTACGGCAGCTATAATTCGACATAGAGGACCGAAGAATGCGCACCACTGACGAGCCACAATAGGGTGAAACGGCCGTCTGGTGCTTTTCCGGATAGGTAGTTGACTTATCTGAATTCCCGGCTGACTGCGACGAACAAGATGTCGCTTTTATTGGTTACCAGACATTTGCAGCAAACTTGTCAAACTAAGCGAACAGTTCTATTGCCACCAGAACAACCTGAACTCTGCATTTTCGCTCTTATTCCAAACCGTATTTCTCGCTTGCTCCTGTTGTCATGTGCAAGATTGTTGTTTAAATCGTTCGACTTCGGCACCTTTTTCACCTGTTAATTTATTTACATATTTTTCCCTACTGCCAAACGATTGTGCATTTAATCTTCAATTGCTGTTTGCCTTTAATATTATCCTCTCATTACGTGTTTCACTTGTGTTGTTTTCCCTGCAGTTATGCGACTCAACCGACCAGTGTTTGTGAAGCAGCAATGTGAACCTGCTGAGCTTTATCTGGATGATATCGCGGGCTCTTTGACGTTTTCCGATGCAGGCGTTCGTTCCGACTTGGATGGGGTCCCACTGCATCGGTTGTCCATGGCATCCATTTCCTCGGCGTCGGTCGACCCTACTCCAACGGTGGCAGGAGACCACTGCCAATCGAATTCGAGCAACTCTCAAAACCCGGACGACTTTATTCACGTAAAAGTTGGCGGTCCTGGGGAACTTTTACATCTACCTCAATCATTCGGGTATGGTGGGTTCGATACACTTCCCTATTCACCATGCTTGTTGTCATTTTCGCCTTGTGACACATTTTGCTCTCCGATACTTTTGCTTTGACCAATGCACTCACTTCTCTTCTTATTTGTATGACGACGCCCGCACTTCCCTATCTTTTCGCTGCTACATATCACACTGATTTCAAGTGAACAAATATCCCAGAAGCAGACATCAGATGCAAGAGTTTGCGAACAGGTTTGATCGATAACTCTTGTTTCTGATATCACACTTAGCTCGCTCCAGTGGAGATCTTAGTCTTTTCTACTAGTTTAGCTGGTGTATCGACGCCAATAGCGTATATGTCCGATGAAGCTGGTTCGAAACCCACCGAGGAGGATGCCTGTGGGTTTCCGGATTACCTGTCGGAACGATAGTCGGACGAATTTGTCTCGTTTTACAAATATTTCTCCTATTTACCCACCCGATTTTGCGCCACCGGTTGACGTACTTGATGTCCCTTGAAGGTATTATCACCAAGGTCGGTCATTCGCGACGCGACTTTTGTATACCAGCCCCGTTAATTCACTGGGGCCAGTTTGCACAAGACATATTACGCATATACTTGGGATCATCGCCTTCTTCCTTGTATTCAACTTGTACCGCCGCTAACGGCCGAGAATCAGGTATGTCTGCAAGTGGTTCTCCACTTCATGCTGTTGCATAAATTTTGAAAACCGGGAATTTTCTCAGCTATTCGTGTCGAAGGGGTTGGGATGGAACTACAACACACAGTTGTTGCATTACTTACTTTAGACGAAATAGAAGCCATTACCTCTAAGTGTAGTCTATTATTTGACTCATTTTTGCCCATTTAAGCGTCATGCGCCGTTACATTTTCGCTGTTTCATTTCTCAGGAAGACGATTGTTGCGAATTCTTTTAGCTAGGAAAGTGCATGTTGGTTTTCCTTTGGGGTTGGTGTCTCACCTGCATATGTTTCGTTGCCAGATTGATCACCCCCGTCAGAACAAGAGAAACAGGTATTGCGCTGACGATTTCTCTCCTATACTTGCATTTAGCCTTAATGAAAATCTTACGTTTGTGTCATGCTCACTGTGCTTAAGATTGTTGTTTGCTTTAGGAATGTACCCACTTCCTCACCCGAGTAGCACGTCGGACAGCATCAATACAGGGTTTGAATCGTCCACTATGCTCCCATTCGGTGTCATGATTTATTTTCGTGTCTAGTGTTCATTACTTCCACTAAGATCACATCCGAGGTAGTGGCGCTGTCAGTGATATTCGCTTTCATTGCCATATTCCACAACCCGTTTCGCCCCTTTTTGCCTAAGCAATCGAACCCGACAACTTCGTCTTGTTCTGCCACTATTGAATTAACCATGCAAACTCTTCGTCTTCTGTCAAAATTACTGTGTTAGGGTGGACAAGAGTGCATTGCTTTAAAATCCCATGTTGCAATTGAACTTGAGTATTTTTCGGTGGAACATCACTTTCCTAGTGATTTTAACGAGGTCGTTCATTTTCTCCACTCATTACCTGTTGAGAGTTTGGATTTTTAAAGTCTCTCTTCTACCTTCATTGGTTATTATTATTAAATATTTTGCACGATTTTCTGGATGCCTCAACCTGTTTTCTTGTTCTGAGGAGTTCTGTCGAGTTACTATGGATATCATGAGATAAAATAAATGTATTTCATGGCTTTATTTCAGCGCCAATCCATTGTTACAACCTTATACGATGTGTCAGCCTTCCCGAGCCCCATCTTGTGTCTGAAGAATTCAAGTTCTTTGGCTCTGACCCTAAAAACCCTTCGTGTTATTTACCTGTGTAACCAATCTTGTCACTATGGGGATAAATTTCAACGAACGCGTCCAAATTTTTGCTCTGTCGCTGTAATGTCGCTATCACCAACTGTTAGTGCACCGGGCGATCCTAACTGCCTTTGTTCGTACACTTCTGTACGTCGTGTTTGCCACCGAAATCGGACACAGTAGTCCGGCATTCCATTCTTTTCCAACCCACCGTCTTAACACGCCATGCCCCCGTTGGTAACTGGTTTACCGCGCTGACCGTCACAGAACTCCACTAGCTGCGTTGTTCGCTTGCATGAGCTCACTAAAAAAGTGTAAAGAGAGCTACGGAGTCGTGCGAAACGAGTTGAGCCGTACCTGTTAACACTTAGTTACCTGAGTTCAGACGATTAAACTTGGATACGGAGCAAATATACTTCTTCCTACCCTCTTCATATTCAAGGGAAAAGCTTTTGTGGATTCTCTACACAACTTACTAGGACACCAGCAGTACGCCAGTATGCAGTACCGACACTTCGCTGCCGCGCAACCGCCACCAGTCACACGTGTGCTAAAGATACTGCGTGGGTCTCCCGGTCCCTACGCAGGCTCGAGCACGCCACCTAGGATTACAAAGCAGGCTTGTGATCCTTAAGGCTACGGACCGATCACACAACGTAGTAGTGAATCGGCAGTCATAGCTGCTTGTTTCTGTCCTTCTCAATAGAATGACTGGCACACGTGAAAGCCAGCTTCGTCAATAGCGAACCGGGTTTCGTCGAAATCGAGAATGTATTAACCACCTCTTCACTTTACGTCAGTTGTTGGAACTGCACCGTTTTATTTTGCGACCCACCGTCTTCGTGTTCCTTGACATCAAAGGTGCCTTCAGTTCAGTGGATTTGTGTGCCTATTGGGACTGCCTGCTCAGGATATGTGCCGGGTAAATATGGCGGTCCTAAAAGCGCTGTACGTGCATAATTCTTTTGGGCCTACTACCTTAGATAAACTGTTGCCACTCCTTGATCACCCCAGCAATGTACTTCAAGACTGTCTGCTGCCACATTTCCCTTTTAACTTCGTTATCGACGAAGTCAGTGAAATCGCGTTTGCTGGACACGACTTCGAATGCGTGGAGCTTCTCCCAGATGGTTAACTTTTCGACTTGGTATACCCTGACTACATTGCCCTAATCTGTGGCCGCTCTCAAAGGTTCCGATCAGCACCTGCTGTCAATCGTTTCCGGTATTGCTTCGCATACTTGAAACGGAATGTCCTTTAAAATTGGCAAGTACCCACATTTGCTCAGACCCTTGGCGGTGATCAGCTGGAAGTCGTACAGAAACTCACGTATCTCGGCAGCTGAATAGGATCCGTCTGATCGAAGATGAGATTGCGAGCCGTATAGCCGAAGCTCGAGGTGCTTTTGCCAATCTCCGCCATCTGTGGCGCCGACACTGCATCACTCTCGCCATGAAGGGCAGAGTTTACAATGCAGCCATCCGTTCAACCCTCCTATACGCTTGTAAAACCTGGTCCATCGGATTGACATATTTAAACAGGCTAGCTAGTTTCGGCCATCGCTGCCTTCGCAGCCTAGCTCATGTCTGATGGGAGCATCGCGTGAGCAATGAATGTGTTCGGCGCCGTGTATTTTATGCAGCAAGCGCTAGTGAACCGCTCAGCATCATTGGATCACGCACCAGGCTCCCATGGCTGAGACATGTGTTGCGCATACCAGCCCACCGAGTCCCGCGGCGTGCATTGTTTGTGCGACCGGGGTGGTGGAGGTGAAGGGTTAGCCAAACGGTGACTTGGTCAATAGGAATGAGGCCCCTCACTCTGAAATGGGCG